CCCCAACAAAAAAAAAAAAAAAAAAAGTAAGTCATTTAAAGTCACATTTTCTTAAAAACATTAAGTCATTAAAGTCATAAAGTTCAAAACATATTTGTGGCTGTCAAACATTAGCAGCTCAGGTTCATAGTAGGGTTATTAAAACTAAAACCATTAAAACAAAGTAAATGTTAACTGAAATAAAATGTAAATAATACTAAAACAACAATTCACACATCCACTAAAAAACCCACTGTGAAACCATTTGGTAAAAATCACTGCAAAAAATATCTCAAGTTAGTTTTTTTAGAAAAAAAAAAAAAAATCATCAGTGTAAGTCTTTAAGTGTAACTTTAAGGTGAGACAGGCAAATCATTCAGTTCCCACCTGTGTGTCTTGAGTGTTTTTGATGGCATCTGTCTTGACCTCTTCAGGCAGAACATACGTTCCTTTATAAAACTCTCTCACTCTCAGCTCCAGCAACTCTGTCTCCTTCTGCAGTGTTTCAAAATCAGGAGCTGAAGCACTGGGTCTGGAAGAACTTCCACTGTTCGGTCTCAAGCTCACTTCCACCTCAGCCTCATCCAGGTCATCTTCATCCAGTTCCTCCACTTCCTGTGCAGAAACCTCTGTTCCAGAGGCATAATCAGGCCCATAAAGAAACTTCATGGTTTCCTCAGTTCTCCACTCCATAAAAGTTTGTCGTAGATGCTCTAGCAGGCACAAACTGATGGTTGTAGGAGTTGTTTTAGCTTTGTTATGGTCCTTCAACAAGCCTTTGAGGCCTGCAGCTCCTCTCTTACTCATGCTCACCTGAGTGATGTTCAGACCACTAGTGGAAGGGGTGGAGTTTCCAATCTCAGACTGTGAAGAAAGGTTAGTTTCCTGTTGGGTTGCAGTGTCCTTCAGACTACACCGATTCAAAAGCTCCAGAGTTCCTTCAACATCAGATCCAGCAGATGTGGTTTTATTTGGTATAGACAGACAGGCAGTTGGGTCTGTCTGTGGTTGAGGAGTTTTTGAAGATCCACTTTCATCATTATTTTCTCCATCGAGTGTTTGTGTTGGTTCAGGATGTGCATATCGCTTATTTTCAGCACTCAACCTGTCCTCACTCACTCCGTCCCTCTTTGGCAGTTTTCCCCAGTGTACCCTCGCGTGTTTATGCTGTCTGGACACCACACTGGAGACAAAGTCTTGCTCAATGTCACTGTTGTCGCTCTGGTTGAAGGGAGGGGAGTCCTTGTGAGATTCAGGAACTTCTAGGACAGCATTCTCAATGTCAGCTTCTGTCACAGGCTTGTCTACCAACTTTATTTCCTGTCCAGAGCTGCCTCTGTAGACAGATGAAAATACATTGTGAGTCAGTTCATACAAATATAATCTACTAATTTCTTTAGAATGTTATGTCACTGCAAAAGATCTTCTACTAAAACATGAGATTTCTCTAAGACAAACAAAACAGCTTGTACATACCCCTCTCCTTCGTTCATCAGCTTAACTTCAGGAGGCCTTTCATAAAAAAGAATGTAATTTTTTTTTAGAAATAAAATGCTAAACATTGTTACATGAAATAAAAAATATGACAAAAATGCTAAAAATCTTATTGCTGAATCCACTACCGCTCAAAAATGTGGTGTCTGAAGTTATTCTTTTTTTTTGTTTTGAAAGAAATGAATACATTTATTCTGTAAGGACATATTAAATTAATAATAAAGACATGTGTAATGTTATAAAAGTTTTATATTTCAAACAAAGGTTATTCAGGTTATACATAATAATAAGAAATTATTTTTGAGTACCAAATCAGCATATTAATACAATATTTCTGTTTTTACTGTACTTCTTATCAAAATAAATGCAGTCTTGGTCAGTATAAGAGACTTCTTTCAAAAACATAAAAAAACCTTTCAGAATCCAAACTTTTGAACAGTAGAAGAAATGTAATACAATTAGTTATTATATAAAATAGATATGTGATTAATAATACATATTTTTATTAATAAATTACACATTCACCTAATTATAATTAAGTTTAAGTAACACAGTTAAGTAATTGATTGAAAGATACACTACCTCTCCTCCTTTCTAAGCCAAAGTGGTGTTTTTGATATCTGGAGCTCAAAACATTTGGAGGCTTTGTAGCAGAAATTACTGCAAAAACACTGTAAAATTAAACAAACAAAAGAAAATGATGAACTTGTCTGCTTAATCTACTATTAGTTATTAAAAGAGAAATTAAAACAAAGCAAGGAATAAAATCATACCTTGCGCTCTGTAATATCATAGACTCTGTTAGTTTTGGTGGATATTTTAAACTGTTGAGTGGGTATCTGAAATGTAATAAACTCTTATGAGACAGTCAGAAACATAACTGATAATGCAAATTAAAAACGAGGGAAAGAAGTGATGTTTACTCTGTAATCCCTAAAAGGTTCTTACGTTAGTTAGTTTATTTGGACACCTAGGATATCCACACAGTTTAGCAATACACCTTTCTTCCACTGTGTCTTTGTAGTTGGCAGGAGTGATGTGCCATGCCTATAGAAAACAGTACATTCTCTTTGAAGCACAACAAACAACTATTTAAATCTCCAGCTGAACTGTATAGAGGCCAATTACAGTACGTTATGTGACTTACACAGTCGATGAGGAACTCCTCTGTCACACTGTCCTCTAGCAGCCGCTCAACTACCTGCAGGGCTTTGCGCTCCAACTCTAGCTTCTGTCTGAGCGCCACTTTAATAGCTTCCCTCCTGCAAACATTACACTCCATGTAACCTGTATCACTTTAATAACGATATCAACGTATCATATAAAGTGTTACTCAAAAACACTCCAACTAAAGTAAACAAACATACTTTCTCGCCTCATCCGCTGCTGAAATCACCTGGGTTCCTTTGCCCCCTAAAATTCAGGACAAATATTCTGTTAAAATGTAAAAACAAAAACTTCGAGGAAAAATTCCATATACTACCTTTCTTCTTTGATTTCGAGGCTCGAATCTTTCCTGTCGCCTCCTTGCTTGTTCATCCGCTGCTGAAATCACCTGGGTTCCTTTGCCCCCTAAAATTCAGGACAAATATTCTGTTAAAATGTAAAAACAAAAACTTCGAGGAAAAATTCCATATACTACCTTTCTTCTTTGATTTCGAGGCTCGAATCTTTCCTGTCGCCTCCATGCTTGTTTTCTCACAACAAAACTCCTTCCGCTTACGTCACAGCACTACGGCAAGCACCCAGCAACACGCTTCATTCTGCTGCAGTTTCTAAACATGCGGAGCTACATATTGAAAGTATAGCTGTAAGTGAGCGCGCTTTTGCAATTTGTATCTTGTTAAGTAGACGTATATCTCATTAACAAAATAAATCAGCAGCCATGCCTATACAAAGCTACGCGAAAGCATAATCTTATTGTAGAGCTTATTTTGAACACGCCAGTCGTATAGAGATTTTAGCTATCTTGCTAATGACTGCAATAACCAATTTGACATCAGTACAGACTCTGTGAGGAAGACTGAGGTGTATTTATTAATCTTTTTTATTATATGGATATTTTCTCTAATATGTGTGTCTGCTGTGTTTGTTAATGATAGCTGGACAGTGTGTGACAGCTCTTTATAAAGATGTCATGATTGATCATGATGTCAGTGCACTCTTGTCTTTGCACCTCATTATTCTGTTGTTATCAATTATATAATTTCTTTATACAGAAAGCCTTGATAACAGAAGACGTTTCTGGCCACCAAGATGGCTCTAGAACTGCTCTGTGATGTGGTCCAGAGATGTGTAAGTGTAGCTATGTTCTACTGTACATTTACAATGTGTCAGCTACGCACAGTCACCTATGTATTCATTTTTTCTTTAGCAAGCAATCAAGGATGAAGGCTTCTCACCGGAAGACTATGATTTATTCTTCACTGCAGGAAGAACCTGTATAGAGCAAGGCAACAGTGCTCAGGTTCTCAGCATCCTAGTTGATGAGAAGAACAAGGTGAGTTGAACAGTGTCTAGGGTGCTTTGTGACTCATGTATGAAGAGGCCAAATTCAGGAAGCTTTATCCTTGTTTTACTCAAGAGCATAGTGAGATGCATGGGCTGGAATCTGCTGGGGCCACTAGTACAGATCCTCTTGAAGAAGGAAGACAGAAACCTTCCACACTGCCATGCCATCCTGTCACATCTGCTGGAGGTTATTTGTGATTTGTTTTTAAACTGTGATGAGATATTTGGTTATGACCAGCATGCAGTTTCCATACTGCTTTCATTTATTCAGTGATGTTTTGTGAAACAGGTTTGCAGTCCTAAAGAGCTGCTGGTGGGTTTATTGGAGCAGGTGGAAGAGGCTGATACTGGCTCCATCGCTGAGACAGTTACTCTTCTCCTCAAGCCTTTACAAACAGGTTTCTCATCTCTTTGTCACTGAATCTTTAACACTGAAAGTAAATACATTGCAAGATTTGATCCTTTTAACATTTTTAATCTACACTACTGCTAAAAATTGTGGGGTTGTATTTTTTATATCTTTGAAAGAAGTCTCTTATGCTCAAAAAGGCTGCATTTATTTTGATTAAGTAAAAAAATAACAATTATAGAGTTAAAACAGTAAAATTAGTAGTTAAGTATTGTGAGATATTATTATCACAATTTAAAATAAATGTTTTCTATTTTAATATGTTTGAAAATGTAATTTAGTCCCGTCATTTAGAAAAACCCTTACTGACCCCAAACATTAGAGGTAGTGTAGATAAACTCTCTAGATTTCACTAACTGACTACTCATTTTGTTTGTCCAACTAGTCGACCATCCTGCCCATCCATACTAACTCTTCCATGTTACTTT